AGAAAGAGGCAGTAAGCAAGCTAGTTGTTAAATAAATTCGTAAAATAAATCAATTGACGAGCATTGAATATAAAAGCTTGCAATTAATCGACGAGTGTAGCTAAAAAGTTGGCTCGAACTCGGCCACTAACGTAAAATAATTGAGATCGACTGAAAGCTACATCGCATTATTATTGTATTGTTTAAACGTGTGCACAACTTTTGTCCGTGTAGTGTATATCTATAAATACATACATTTTTATTAATATATTAACATTATTAAAATGAAAATGTATTTTTATACATGTATATATATATAGAAATAAAATCCATACATTGCTATTGCTATTACTTTTTTTCGTAATACCTGGAACAAAGAATTTAAAAAAGGAAAATATACATGCAATGCTGATGATCAAAATTTGCATTCTTTTTCTGTTTTCTTTATTCATTCATGGTATTAATATTATTCGTCCCATATTTTACCTACTATTACAGTATTACGTTGAATAATTTTCTTAAATCCGTTTTAAAATTATTTTAGTTACGGAAATAATTGACTTGTAAATTTGTTTTCTAAGAAAGTAACCAAAATCCAAAGCCACATTATAAAAATTATGTCAGAGGGTCAAGAGATTTTAAATTATTGCATGTGAAATTTTGAAGTATATCATTATGTAAGTTTTAAAGCAATTGGTTAAAAAACTTTCTTTTCAAAAATAATCGAATTTTTTTTATTTTTTAACTGATGAAGTTCTAGAAAATATGGATGCATATAATTTTATATCCATAATCTTCAGAATTTAGCTACGAATTGATACATTTTTTTGTATAATTATTATGTGTGTTTTTTGTGTTAGAACAATTGTTAAAAAATTAGATGTTTTTAAAAAAGACCTTACAAAAAAATTGGCAATACTATTTTGTATAAGTAATTGGTTGGCTTTTAAATGAGTCTAATTCTATCAGTTATTTGTTCCTGTTCTTTTCCTAGTTGTTTCCACATAATAAATTTACGTGTTTTTTTAAAGATATACTTTAAATTTAATATAAATTATTATTAAAATGTCAACTCGTGAAAGAATTGAAGAGGCATTGTTTCTAAATCTATTTCAAGAAGCGACTGGTTCAGATGAATTTGATGAAAGTTTTGATGAAGATAAATTGCCTTTTGAACTAGATAAATACTTTGTTGTTATTGTTTATCATTAATAGCAAAAGAAACTATCCTTTGAATTGGGTAAATTCTTTGCTGTTGTTTTTGTTTGTCATTATTAGTAGAAGAAGCTAACCTTTGAACTGGGCAAATACTTTTGCCATTGTCATTACTAGTAGAAGCTATTTTTTGAACTGGATGAACACTTTGTTGTTGCTGATGTTGTTTGTTGTATAGCTATTTTGGATATTCTTGTTTCTTGTTTTCTTTTTCCAATTTGCTATGATCGTGTAACAAGTAATAGGAAACAGGAACGCAACAATCCTTTTCCTTCCCACTATAATAGTAACTACAACAATAATAATTGCAATAATTAGTATAATAAATTGCTATAATTAATAATAACTTTAGCAAAAAACGTAGCTAAGCTATTATTAACATTGCCATGATTATTAACACGACAACGATTACTATTGATATTACCATTAATAACGACAATCATAACGTTACAAGCAACAATACAATAATAATGTTAACAATTATTTCGATAATAATATTTTTTTAATAATATCAATTTGTTATTATTTTGGCAACGACTGCCAATACACGTTGCCTTGGTAACTCTGAGCTATTTAATAACATCACTGATAATAATCATTGCGATGGCGACAACAACATCGATAATAATAAGCTTTTAGAGATTCACAAGCAATTGTTGAATATTCGTCAACCAAAATCTAAACATTGTATCTAAAAAATCAAATAATAACAATGTCACTACTAACAACACCTCGTCTTCATTATCAGAATAATATCAACTGACGGAGTTTACTTTTCAATGTGCACTTCACGATGAAAAAACCTTATTTCTTTTGCTCAAATTATGGACATTATATGGAAACATGTCCGAACACTAGAAAAAAAATTTTCAGGTAAGAGCTTGCTATAAATGTTTCGATATTTATAATGAGGATTCGGTCGATTTTAATACTTTAATAAACAATTATTTAAATGACAATACTTAGATGACATTAAATAAATTTTATTTATTTATTTTTGTGGAGCAATATTTTTAGAAGAGAAAAAATTTTTCAAACAAAATATGTAATAATAAATTGTATTAATATCGCACTCTCTCACACATTTTTACACGCACTTACACACTCCACTCACAAACAATTACAGTAATATGTTATATATTGCATTATATAAATTATTATATTCACTACAAATATAAATAACGCAATGTGAGCTTTTTTTTATGCATAATCACGCATGCTGTGCTATGTGAGATCAAAAATTCATTTACATTAAAGTTAAATTGGATTTGGATTGCGTCTTCTTCGTTGTAAAGAGCAAAAAAAATCAGTTCATTTTGGTCAAGACAATAGTCTATTTTATTAAATTCGAAACATATAAATAAGATAGCCGTCCGTCCCCACATTTTTTATAACATCAACGTCGAGATATTTCGAGTTTACGAATGAGTACGCTATGAAATCACGCCATCATTATTCAAACTTTCGTAGCAATGATATTACAATATTATAAAATCTCATGACTTAATCACGTATATATTCACTTGGAGCGCCAAATTAGCCAATCATATTATTATTTATTCGTTGAGCAAAAAATTTGTTTAATTATCATTATTAAATGGGAATTGATCGTTGTTAAAAAAACTGATCAAGGCCTTTCTGAAAGTGTAAAGAGGAACAGAACTAATTTTCTTATTGTTGACGAGAAACCGATCATGTCTCTTTGAAAAACTGCAAAGAAGATGTTCTGTTACCATTAATTGAAAAAAAAAGGAATTGTCGTTGTTAAAAAAAAAAAAAAGATCAAGACATGTTTGAAAGTGTGGAGAGTGTTTTCTTGAGAGTATCGCTAGAAAGAAAACAGGATAATTTACGATTAATTTCCGACTAAGACTTTTTGAAAGTGCAGTTTTTTTTTGAGACCACCATTAAAAAGAAACAAGATAATTTGTGATTGATTTCCTTATTGTTGTTGACGAAAAAAACTTAAATAAGAGATGCTTCACCGTCACAAAAAAACAGAATAAATGATAATTCGTAAATTTTTTTTAACAATTTAGTTAAATTCAATCAATTCAATTGCCAACCAAGGTTGGGTGACGAAAATATTTTGGAGTGTAAGAAATATTTTGTCAAACGGGGCACACGTGACGAAAATGACAAAGGGCAAAAGTCAAAGTCAAAATCAATTGAATTTTTTTTTTGGTCAGTTAGAACAGTACTTTTGTAAAAGCTTGACAAAAGAGCTTGGACATTTTGTTTTTTGTTTATTTCATTGTTTTGTTTATTATTAATTTCATCCAAGTAAAAATGAGAAATAGAATAACAACACCGAGGACATTCTTAGCTAAACGAGCCTTGAGTTTAAAAGGTGTTCTACGATTCCAGGTTTTTGGAAATATTTACAAGACGCTGAGTAATGTCCTTTTACTTTCCATACATCAGACACAGGACGTACTAGAGCTAATTCTTGATTATTGTTAAATGAATTTTAAGATATATTATCTAAATTTAATGTTTGTGAATTCATATTCCCAATAAAAAACTTATTTAAGTAATTAATGGTATTTTTCAAAAATAATTTTTACGCCCATAATTAGACAAGAAAATCCTTGAATAACTAACTATAAATGGTCAATTTTATAAATGTTTCATGCTAGTATATATCTAAAAAAAACTACTAATTGTTTCATCATCACTTTCGCCTTCCACATTTCCACAATAATATAATAATTTTGTAAAAATTCATGTTTTTTTTTGAAATAGAATTGTGTACGTTACATTGCATTTTTTTTCATGTGCATGTCATATCTCTTAAACAATGTTGTAACAAACAAACATACTGATCGTATTGTTTTGTTTGATAAAATGCATATAAATACAAATTAATTAAATATTAAATTGGGAAAATATTGATTAAGCCTTTAGAATATTAATTATATTGATTGAATTGATTACATATACACCATCACATCACCATCACAAATGAAATCAACTTAAAAAGTTTTTTATTTATTTATTCATTGTTCACCTGTATATGTCAAAATATTGCAGCAAATTATTATTGCATAGTAACGAGTTCTTTTTAGAGAAGAGAAGGGAAGGGAAAAGTTGCGTTAGAGTTAGAGTTTGTATATTCAGGCAGGAAACGTCACAAAATTGGTATAACGAAGGTAATAATTGTTAATAGATGTAAATATAATCCGTTCAAAAGCTTTTTACTGCAGATTGATTAATTTTTCCATTTAACGTTTAACACCTTTTTTTAATTTTTAATAATTCCATATCACTATTGTTACTATTTACAAATAATAAAATATTCTGCTAGTGTTTTTTTAAAAAATTTTTTTTATGAATGGTTTTTTCAAAAAGAGAAAAATCGTAGAGTTTTTGATTGGCGCCCAATTTAGAAGCATATGATAATTCACAATGTTGTGAAACATTCATTGTTCCAAGATTACCATATTTAATGTGTTTATTTTAGAAAACAAATTTTTTTGTAAATGGGTTAAAAAAGAAAAAAGAAATTCAAGTCCAATGAGTAGAAATTTTGTTTTTATTAAACATAATTTTATAGGAAACATGAGATTAAAGTAATAAAGTATATGCTATTGAAAATATTACTTGGTGTGAGTCATCAAAGTGATTAACATGCCTTTAAAATGATTGACATTTGTGTTATTAGAATTACTTATTCCTATGCATGTCATTTATGTAATTGTCCATTTTTACGGTCACCTTTCCAAAACAATTCCAATTTATTTTATATTTGCCTTGATAAGTACTTATTAATGCTTTTAATTATAATAAAAGAATCCTCTTTTTCAATGTTAATGAATCCTGAAATTGCAACTCAAGAATTAAAAGAATTCTTGACACATTTAGAAGTTAGTTTCTCTTCCTCTTGATAAATATATTAATAGGAATATAATACACATTAAATTTAATAACATATTTTTATTAATAAATTTTATTTCTGTTAGAGATAAATTTGAACAATCTCCTGAAGGTACAGTCATCAAATATGCTAGCTAATGTATCAAAACCACAAATACAGCAAAAAAAACACGATTATGGTATAGTTGATTTGAAAGAGTTTGTTAATGATACACAACCTGTTATTGATTTGTTAACAAAAGGTTATTGCTGCATTATTGTGTATATAAAGCTAGATCATTGTACAATGGAATTGATCCTTTAACAGATGAGGAAATGGTTCAAATATTTAATCACACACAAATACCATCAATTTTGGCGATATTCTAAAGATAATATAATGTATCATTTATCTTTCTGGTGGTACAAGTTATTGTGTGATTATTCTATATAAGGTATAAACGAAAATGGATAATTGCGTAAATAAGGAAGATATTAAGCTTTATAATGCTCTCTTTTATTATTAAAATAGCGAATAAATAGATGATAATTTGTTGTTATTTATTATCAAAAAATAATAATAATTCTTCATTATCAATCCATTAAAAAGTTGATTATACAAAAAAATAATAAATATAATTGTAAACAATATAGAATTCAATTGAAACTTTATCAAATGATAGAATAAACTCAAAAAAAAAAAGACAAGCCAATCATCCATAAAAGATTCATATGACAAACAATGAACTATTAAAACAAAGAAACAAAAATATCAGTGATGATGATAAAGTGCAAGAAATGTTAAATTGATGAAGGCAGTAGAAACAATCATAAATAGAAAAACGGATAAATATGTTATTATTATCAGAGTATAAACTAATAATAATAACAATAACAATAATAATAGTAACGCTAATACTAACAATAATGCCAATAACAGTAATTTATTGTGAAAAAAAATCGAGATCTTCATAAAAAAATCCACAAAGAACGATTTGAATTTCAATGTAATAGTAATAACAAAAATCTTTAAGTCGTAAAATAACAAATACAATTGCATTGGAAAAAAGAAATCTTTAATCCATCAAAAGTTCTTTTAAATATGTTAATTGAAACATTATTATTCGATCTTTATTGAATTTGTTTTATAATTTTTTTTTAGTACCGATTTTTTTCTTCTTGTTCATAAAATAATAATAATACCATATACCATATATTCCATAAACAATAAATCTATAATTATAACATCATATATTTCATATTTATTTTTATAAAAATATTTGTGCTTATGGTACTATAATTTACAACAGGTTTTATTGATTATTGATATAAAAAGTCAACTTCTATAATTCACTCTTATCTATAATGGATCTTTCCATAACGGAACTTGTTTAGACTGAGAATTTAAGCCCAATTTATATGTCCCATTTATAAATTAATAATATAATAATAATAGATTCTCTGTTCGCTATTATTATCATTACTATAGAAATGTACTCATTGCACAAGACAAAAGAAATTTTTTTTATATTAAAGAAACCTTCGAATCTTGACTTTGTTAACAAAAAATTTTTACAATAATGTGGCGGAACAATTTTCTAACAAAGGTAATCGATTAGTGACATTTTGAGCTTATTTAAAAAATATTATTTACAAAAAATGTTTGATGATTTAATAAAACTTCTTTTAGATAATGAATGAATCAACTCTTATAATATCTTTCAATAAACTATATTAATAATAATAGTTAATAACACTAAAGCAAATATATGACAATAAATTATAATTACAAAGATTTCAATAGGTAGTAAATCAATTTATTTGTATCTCACTTTACTCTTGTATTTAGCCTGCAACAAATATTTAAATTAAAGCGGCGTTTTCGTTTTATCACGCAGTTTACTATTACTGTATATTACTCTCGGTTTTAATGGTGGTTTTAAAATCCGACGTGTGGACCACGTAATACTTCAAAAAGTTTAATTTGATTTCCTTTTTTGAACTATATCGCCTAAATCAGTTCAATTCACATCATATTTTAATTTTCATATGATTATTACTATTATTCATTACTATTTTAAAAATACCCAGCTAATTGATTGGCTGTTGTTACATGAAAAATTATCTGAACAACGAACGCGATATAAAGAAAACGCACAGATATTATATAAATATAATAATCTTTTTTTTAAAAAATTAATCAATTGTTTTGACATAAATAACAATACGCGGTATCGACTTGGTTAATAAATGTCAGCACTTCATGTTTGGTTGATCGATAACAACCGCGTCAACACTTTACACTTTTACGTTCGCACTCTGAAAAAATTTGATAAAGTTATTAGTTCTTACGTTTATACTTAAACACTTAAACACATTTACAAAACGTAAACAAAACATTTACACTTACAAAAACTTAAAACAAACCTTTGCTTCTTTACTAATCAAAAACCTTATTGGCGTTTTCGAGAGAAGAAAAAACGACTAGTTGTAAACGTGCGGATGTTAAAAGAAAAGTAAAAGTAAATAAAAAAGAAACTCAGAAAAACTTTGTCGCTTTTTAAAAGAGCCACATTATTTATTGTAAATCGTACCATAAAGCGTGCTTACAGATCGCCGAAGTTTCCTAGAAAGACCATTTTACACAGTTGTTCAAATGATAAGGCAAAGTAAAAAAAAATTAAAAACATTAAAATCGCGATTAAAATCATTAAATTCACTGTTAAAAAAAATAAATGTAGAATCTATTTCAGAAGAGGAAAAAGGATTTAAAAATCAACTTAAAAAGGAATGTATTTTGTTTCATGATTTTAATTCTTTTCAAAATATTAAATTTATTGATAGTGGATCATTTGGAACAATTTCTTCTGCATCTTCAAAGCATCCTCAAGGACTTGTAGCATTGAAATCCATTAATATTGATCAAAAATATCCTTTTGAACAACTTCTTAACGAGGCAAAACAACATTGTAAAGTGGAATTTCACAGTAATATATTAAGATTTTATGGCATAACAAAAGAAAGTATGTTGGCTTTTTATTATTAAATTATTGTTGGTTTACAATATATTCATTATACTTTATTAAGTTTTTTACATATTATTATTAAAGAACATAAAAAGAATTACATGTTTGTATTAGAGTATGCAAACAATGGTAATTTATGTGATTATTTAAAATCTAATTTCAATACAATGGATTGGAATATCAAATTAAAATTTGCAAAACAAATTGTAAGTGCTGTAAAGCATTTGCATGAAAATAAAATAGTGCATAGAGATCTGGTATGCATAAACATTATTTATTTACATTTAATTATTTTATAGTAATAACTAACACTAATATTTTAAATAGCATTCTAAAAATATTCTCATTCATGATGGAAATATTAAAATTTGTGATTTTGGAATCTCAAGATCCTTATTGGATCCTTCAATAGAAGCTTGTAAAAGATTAGGTACAATAAGATACTCAGATCCACAATATTTAGGGAATATTGAAAATTATAGTCGCAATAAAAAATCAGATATTTATAGTATTGGTGTGCTTTTATGGGAAATTTCAAGTGGTCATGCTCCATTTACAGATAAGTCAATCACATCCAAATGTATAATAATTGCCATAATATTAGGCAAACGTGAAGCAATAATCAAGGGAACTCCAAGAAAATATGCAGAAATATATACAGGTAATAATGACTGGCTATAATTTTTCCAATGAACTGTTTATACCAATATTAAAATTATTATTATTTTTATAAAGCATGTTGGCAAGGAAGGCCAGATCTCCGTCCTCATATTCATGAAGTTATGCAGGATTTGGACAGTGTAGACATAACTAACACTATTGAAGATATTGTTAATTTAACAGATCAAACTAATAATGAATTACAAATTGATGGTTTATTAAATTCAACAGGAACTTCATTCTCAGCACAAATTGATAGTTTAAATAACCATTTAAAGGAGGATAAATTACAAAATGATTTATTATATTCAACAGAACTTCTGTTATCTGCATGACTGATAGTTTAAACAACCACTTAAATAAGAAAATAAGAAAAGTATGCAATATATGAAAGTGTATAATATTTAGATAAAGTAGATGGATGTATTATTAAACACACACAGATGTATGATTATAGATTTATTATTTTTATAATTCTGTCAATTTATTTAATTATTCAAATTATTCATTTCATTCATTTTGTTTGAATTATTTATTTCATCTGCTGCATCTATGGGAATTTTTATTTTTGTATTAGGAATATGAACAACAAAATCAGATCTTAGATTATTTATATTATCTTTTTTGGAATATTCATCCATTTCACTCATTTATTTGTTTAATTTATTTCATTCATTTCATTTAGTTTCTTTGTTTTGTTTGAAATCTTTATTTTATTCAACTTACTTGAATTATTCAACTTACTTGAATTATTCAAGTTATATTATGAAATTATGTAATAAGAAATTAAAGTAAAAAAATTATAAGCTAATAAGCTAAGACTGAAACAAGATTCATGTTTTTTTTATAAACAGCAACTTCCTAGTGGCTTGTATTTAAACTTGATCTTTTAAAAGTTACTTGGTTTCCTGCATTGAAACAGATATTGCACAAGAGCCCAAGTATTAGATAATATTGCAGATTCTACCATTTCAATATATTAGTATGTTGACCTGCTTCAGAAAGTTGTAAATATTGATTAACTTAATCTTTCCCAAGACTTTTTTTCAATATCTCTATCTGATGCATAAAATAAATATTTTTTTTAAAGATAGCAGGAGAAATTATAGCAACACAACAATTTCAATTTAATATTTTTAAATACCCACTCGAAACACTTCTAATATGCATTCGATTACAATTTAAAGAATACATCATAAATAGTTGATTTATTATCAGAGTATGTTTGAAGTACATGTAAAAATTCATTGAATAAAAGAAATTCATATAATAATAACGATAAAAATATGAATTGCTAAAATGCGTAGTAGTAATGATAAAATAATATTAGCAAAAGTTTAATTTGCTTAAACTCTAAAACTGGATTGAGGTGAACTGACAAGCAATTTAACAACCACATATATATTAAATTCTATCATACCATTTTTAAAAAGCTATCGTGTTTCTTCCAATTTTGGTTCAGAAATTATTTAGCTATAACTTTGCACAATTTTAACACAAATAACTTTAATACAAATTTTCGCCCAGCTTTTGAAGTTGTTCTTAATAAATTTGATGCACACATTCTTTCAGCCATCCTTTTCAGGCAGCGCGAATTTCTGATTCAAGCTTCGTTTCAGGAAAAGACAATATTAATATAGAATTTGAAATACATAAATATGAAACTCAGAGGCTACTTTTTTTCTAAAATAGAGACGTTCATTCAGATTTAATCATGACGAATGTCCTAAAATATGTAATATTCCTAATTCATCGATTTTGTCCTTCTAACGTTGTTTGTATCTTGCCATAATTTTGGATATTTATTCTTATCAAATAAAATTTCAGCCAAGTGTAAGTCCTTGTGCTATTGCACAAAGAACAATATGTTAATGAACATGGTTTATAAAAAGTCCTTTAATACCAACAAGAAATCTGTATAATTCTAACCCAATTGTTTTTCATTTGTTATATCTTTAATATCACCGTTAATATTGGCTTCCTGACGAAATTGTTTAAATAATTTATACCAAGTTTTCGTTGAGTATCAAATTACATTGTCCAATTCTTGGTCTATGGGAATATTAAACCTTTTCAAAATTACAATCGGTACTAATTTCGTCAGTTGCAAGGGAATTTGTTCCATTAAATGAATTAACAGAAATCGATTACCATCAGAAGTTGAATCGGCGGTTAACATATCCATATTGAAAGGTGGAAACAGCAATGGGTAAAAACATTTAAAAAAGGATTGTTATTTATTTGTAAATTTGTATAAGATACAAAGTAGGCAAAAGAAAAGAAAGATTGAACTAATAATTAAAAAATTAGTAATATATTTAATAAAATCGTAAATTAATTTCATCACCACTTTCAATATCGCGACGTCTGCAAAAAATATGTTTTGCAGTTATTTCTGCAGCTGATAGTTGCAATGCCTCCAATTACTGATTAAACTATAGTATTTTTGGTTGAGTGTTTCCGCCAGAATTGGGCACTGATATATCCAGACTGGTTTGAGTAGGGCTTCTAGTATAAATTGAAAACGGAATCGAAGTCCCAAAGACATTTTAATAATTTCTTGTATAAAATTTATAAATTTCATCTGGCACGACAACAACCACCAAATTTTGGCCTTTTTTTTGTAAGTTCCACGTCAGGGCTTATTACCGCTATTATTTTATGTGACCGCTGTGTAGTTGTAAGCCCTAATTCTATATGTTCATCTTGTATGCCCGAAAACCCCATGTGATTGTTATATTTGAACCGTGTAAACTGAACGTTGATTAATACATCTATTTTTAAATAAGTCCTAGTTATAGGTTAGTTGATCAAAAATATCATGTTGGTTATGACGTCACGAAGTGACGGCATAATTAAC